CCATTCCAGTGGCATGTTTGACAAGGCGTAAGACGGGAATGTTCCTGAAAGCAACGCTGGTGTGAATAGAGAAGTCACTTGCGGTGCCTCAAAGGTCATCCCTGTCATTTACTGGGAAATATGTGTGACAGAAGCTAAAGACGTTACACGATCTGGAGGACAAATGTTGCCCAATGTGTAACGGGATCATCGGCAGTTGTCTCCCTTGTTTAAGTTAGCTGGCGTGCATTTAAAACGTGGTGTTATTTCAGACTTAAATGTTTTGAATTTGCTTCGCTTAAAGAGGCCCTATTGTGCTTTTTTCCCCCTGTAGTGTGTTATGTAGGTTTGTGTGCATGTAAATGGTCTGCAGAGGCTGAAATCACAAAGTTCCCTTCAACTGGAGTTTTTTTTTTAATTTGGTCTTTATGGAAATATTACTTTGATTTCTTTTGTTTATGTCACTCATATTATGAAACCCAAATAAATTTAAAGGGGACCTATTATGCAAAATCAATTACATCAACATGTGTCCCCTCTGTGGAAAGAGACTCTGACATTTTCAGGAACAAAAGATTCTCTCTCTTTTTGTCCTGATCCATTTCTATAAAAACCTGTCTGAAAATGAGCTGATCAGATTTTGGCCACTTTGTGATGTGTTGTCTTGTNACTTTTTTTTTACTGTCATATAGTTTTTTACCAGTTTTACAACTATAATGCGGCTCTGATAACCTCAGCTCAGGGAGGTAAAGGCACACCTTGATATGATCATTATAGTTGTAAAACTGGTAAAAAACTATATGACAGTAAAAAAAAAGTAGTTATTAATAAACAAGAATAGAGTTTAAAAGGAGAGTGATTTGTAAAATATCCAAAAAGAAAAAGAAAATCTGTTTACAGTTCCGTTTCATATGTTGAGAGATGTATCCATAGATCTCCTAATGTTGCTCTCAAAGTGCACCAGATTGATGCTTTTAACTTCAACAAAAAAAAAAAAAACCTAGTGGAGGTTAGGTCCACCCCACTTAAATCATATTCAAATGGATAGGAAACTAAATACATTTGCGCACATCTTGTGTGTGGGGGGGGGGGGGCAGCTAAAATATTGCCTAGGGCAGCAAATTGGTCCGGGCCGGCCCTGTACTTAACATTTGGAATTTATAGGGTTAACTATAGGGTTCCGGATGATCCCAGTGTCTGGAAAATTGGTCAACTCTAACTGGGCAAAGTGGCCGTATTAAAAATGTCTGTATCCATTCGACGCTGCTAATGACAAAGAAGAGTCTAAGATCACAATAAAATGACGAGGATCGCCATCATACTTAAACAACATACAACTTAAAGTTTGGTCTCAATAAACATATGATGATTACTGCAATTTCTTCCATTTGTCCAGTCCATTCAACGCTCCCAGGACAGCAGCAATTAGTTGAATGAATCCCTGGCATTATGAAAGGTGTACATTTACTAGTGTTTCAGAGTTTAACAGATGTTTACTAGCAGAGTCACCACATATATGGAGAGCACACTGTAATCATGCAGACCACAACATTGAACGGGTCCGTCCATGTGGTTGAGGCTGTGATAAGCTTAGCGTGGAGTAGGGCTACAAAGAACTCCCTTTTTTTAAATCTCAGATTCATTGTTTCTTGGTTAGTTCAATTGATTAATGGGTCTATGAAATCTCAGAAAACTGTGGGAAAGGGGGGTCCAATGCCACCTCAAGCACATGATTATGTCTTTAACAAGGTCACGGTTGGTCCACTACGCAAAGAGATTCAATACATTTAATGTTTAGCAGAATAAAGAAACTAGAGATATTCACATTCAAAAAAGCGTGAGTCAGTGAATTGTACGTATTGTTTCTAAACAAAGAAAAGTATTAAAACTGATCAAAAGAGTTGGGTGATTTATTTGATATTAATCAACTAAAAGTATTATTTCCTGCATGTAGCATAAAGGGACTGCATTTCTGTGTTGTACAATTACAATAAATGAACCGCAATATTTCCACAGGCAAGCACTTTCCCCCTGTGTGGATCAATGAGTTAAAAATCAAGGATGCACAACTAAAAACACATGCACTTGCGGTACAATGAAGCAACAACATCATACATTAAGGGCTGAAGGAGTGAGTCATGCATTTTTTTTTTTTAAAGCACGAGCAACCAACAATAACTCAAACCATATTTCCTATGAAACACCTGACGTAGAAATTCAAAACAGACTTCTGAGCATTTGCAGCAAGCCTTGGCCTACCTCTTATGATAATATGATTGTTACATAAGGGAGCTCTCCAGCTGAGCACAACACAGACTTTGAAGTGACAGCAACCCCTCCCCCCGTCATCCTCCTCCCGTGTGCCACGTGCCGCCGGTCTGCCAGCCTGCTGAGCCATCTGACACACTGACACACAGCCAGCACCAGACTGGCTGCAAAGCACTGAATAACAACAGCATCCACCAGGCAGGGAAGTCTGGACTGATATTCCCACGAGTGCCACTTTGTTAGGACCAGTGGTGGGGGCCCTTACAGATTTAAAAAACACTACTGCATTAAGCCCCCCCCCCCCCCCCGCAAACACATACTTACAATATTTTCTTTGACAACTATTGCAGTAACTATGCTTCTGCAACACGGGAACCACTATTGCTTTACTTTTCTCTATTCAATTATTACTAATATTGAACACGTCGCCGGACCAAATTGCACAACTTGGGATATCAGAAATACACCCAAAAAGTGTGAACAGTCCTGCAGATTGTACATGTCCTCTTGTATACTTCTCAAAGTGTACACTTATTTGTGCAGACTGCTTTCAGAACATTTTTAATAAACGATCCTAATGCAAAGTGGTGGGGACAAAATTGGCCATTTCCAAAAGTGTAGGGGAAATATCCCCAGCATCCCAAGTATAAATGACGCCTATGGATATTCCCCATTTACAAGCCCTTATATTTAAACATGAGTCAAGAAGACTGCAGGTTCAACTAGGTCATACTTATCTAAAATAATCCGATGTGCTGCTAAGAATGACAGAAGTTGTCAAATAAATGTCATGCAATGAATGGAATAAACACATTTCCCATGGGTTACATCTAGTTTTTTCTAAACAAGCCCCTGCATCCAAAAGATAAGCACCATAACACTCAGCATAAAATCGGGAAGCAGTCTTTGTTTATTTACATGACTCAGTGACTCATTCATCCCTTAAACTGAGCTAAAATATCTACTTCTCTAGCTAAATCATAATACGCTAAGGATAGAACATGAACTCCCAGAATAGCTTGTGAAGTTATACAATTTGTATATTTGAAAATGTGCAGTGGCAAGAGAATTTGGATGTGGTTCAATCTAATCCAGAAAATCCAATGTCAAGACTGGGAAACCAGCGAGACCGTTACAGTGAGAGTTGTAACAGATACTGGAAAAAACAACCCTTTATGTAAAGTCAACTTAGATAAATAAATAATATAAATATGTAAATGCAGGTTTGTGATGCAAGACTGGGAGATTAAATACGATATCTCTCACCGCTACATTGCAATGAAAGTATTATTTAAATACAGTGAAGATCACAACAGTCTCAATACAAACAAACATCAAACGCTGAATATTATTGTCATCTCAAAGTGCTTAATAGCTGGGATGACCTGCACTAAAGCAATGCAATCATTATTTTTGTATTGATGTTTTATATGAATTTTCTATCAGCATTATCCTGCACAATCATCACTAATATCATTCCGCAGATTGGACCATTCTAGAATATTATATATTTTATTATGATTATTGATGCATTAGAGTGTCATCAAAGCTGCAGCTAGTTTTAATGACTTTGTATACTGCAGGGTAGCTTGTGAATTGACTCCAGATGTAACTAAAGTCATATTTAAGAGTTGATTATATTTCACACCATTTATCCAGATCTGCAAAGTAACTAAAGTTATTAATGAATGTATTGAAGTAAAAGTATTCACACACGTATGCCTGATCACATTGCTGCTGTAACTAAACAATTTCCTCAATTTAGGATCAATAAAAGTATCAATCTAATCAAAACACATGATGTATTATTCTGAAATGGGCCATTATGCATAATAAGTATTTTCACTTTAAGTTTATTTTGATGCCAATACTTTTACTTGAGTATCATATTGATTGCAGGACTTTAACTTGTAAAAGTATTCCTACACTCTGGCACTTCTACTTTTACTCAAGTACAAGATCTGAGTCCTTCTTCCACTTCTGATTGTATGTCATTACTGTCATGCCAATAAAGCTATTTGAATTTGAATCGAGTTTCCCCTCGGCAGCAGTGTTGACATTTCTGTACAAAGCAGCAAAAAATGAAAATACTTGATGTAAAGTACCTCAAAATGGTACTTAAGTAGTGTAGATAGATACTTTATTTATCCCATGTTCGGAAATGATTTTGTCACAGCAGCATTTTAACAGTAAGAATACGTATTGACTTTAAACCACTGGTCGTAACTGTACAAATAATTGGAAACACTGTATGTCAATATGGCCATGCTAATAAAGCTATTTGAGTTTGAATTGAGTTTCCCCTCAATGCATGGCAGCAGTGTTGACATTTCTGTCTGCTAGCAGCACAGATGCCACATATAATCTGAAATCACTAGCTCCCCCTTGCCCTGGTCCTTTGCAATTACGCCAACACAAGGCCTCGTCCCGACACACAGGAGACAAAATGTCGGAATTGCTGAAGTCACATGACTCCTTTGTACTTAGAAAACCACCTCACGTACAAATAAAGCAGAGCAAACCTGCTTATCTCATCCAAAAACCACACATTATATCCCCGTGTAACCATAACAATAACCACCGTCACACCAACGGTCCGTTTAGAACGGAATTCCGTCGTGTTTCTCCTGAGAAAAAACAGCGGCCATTTTGTGTGAAAGCTTGCGCAGAGAAGAAAAAAAAAAAGGAGGGACGCTTCATTTAAAAAATAATAATAAACCACATAAATTCAACATTTTTTAAGTAAATCATACCGATTCCTCTTCTTTCTCCATCCCCGTGGGCATCTGCGGCACGGCCCGGTTAATGGAGGCATACTCGTGCAGGTCGGGTAAATCCTCGCAACGGAACACGGGCAGCGGCTTGGTAGCGTCCAGAGCTCGCGCCCGAAACGACAATTTACTCATTTTTTCACAACTCGAGATGCAATATAAATCTATCGGATCTCCTGATATTCACAACGGTACCGAGTGGCGCTTTCATGGATGTTTCTGTGCGGTTTTCTCTACTCTAACGTTGTAAAGCTTGTATTTAGGGCGTCGCCAACGGAGCCGGGGGAAGGGCCCGGATCTTGGTCGCTCTCTCTCGGACTGTTTTTTTCCGACGCTCCGCTCCCTACCGTTGGTTCAGTGCGCCATGGACAACATGGCGGACATTTAAAACTCTTTTGCTCTGTTTCGTTCGCAGCGGTCCAACCCCCAGCGCGCGGACCGACCATTCCCACACGGTCCCGAGCGCTTGCGCGTTGCGGGGGTGGGGGGAAGGGGGGCAAACTGACTGCTTTACACACACACTTATATATTAATGATTGCAATTACCGTTAGGCGGAAATATATATATTGTTTTAAAAAAAATTGAGAATCTAAATGAACATTAATGAAACATGAGAAAGGAAAATAAACAAATAAGTAGATCCAATACAATTATACTAAATAAGTAGATAATAATTAATAAAAAGCCAAAAATACACAAATAAGTATACTTACAATGTATACTCCATTTAGTAGATACTAATGAATAAAAGCCAAAAATAAACAAATGAGTAAAAAAACATTATACAAAATAATCCCAATTAATAAAAGCCAAACAAATTATCAAAGTAATAAATGTATGAATACAAAAAAAGACTTGATTTACGTGTGTAAAACAAAAACAAGTAATGAAAGGCATAACTTTTGCTCCTATTTGCATACAACACACATATTGACTTTGCAGTAAATATGTAATATTAAAGACCAGTAACATCATAGCCACATTTGATTTTTAGTAGTAAATAAAGAGGAATCAAAGCTTATAGATCAATTTTTATTCCATTAAGTATTAATTCTATTTTTAGGCATGTTTTTTTGTATTTATTAAACCATACTACCATTAGGAATTACAGTAGGCTACACACAACTACCATACACATAAAGCAGTACAAAAAAGCCTCAAACTAAACCTATTTACCTATAACTTTGAATATTGATGTTATGGTAATTAGTGTTATGCTTTTCAGTAGACAAAAGATCATCCGTCTAAGTTTATTCCTTTGTGTTCATTTTCATGCGTAAATCCTTAATATATTTTTAAAATATGTTTAATAAATAAAGTACCCTAACATTCTAGCACTAGAAAAGGTTCAAACTTTAGTAGACCTTTTAAATCATGAGAAATCAAAAGCTTATTTTCGAATTAATTCAGTTTTATAATTTCTCTTTTTTAAAATCATGCTTTAGTGATATTATTTTTTTTTTAAAAACACTTCTAAAATGTGACTAATAGTATACCATTACAGGGTGTCCGTGGAGTCTTAAAAAGTATTACAAGTTGATAAATCAGTATATAAATATATATAAATTGTCCAAAGAGGTTGTATTCTACAGTCTGCCTGAATATAATCATTGCGTAGGTGTGTAGTGTGATTCTGTGTAGTTTATTTATGGCAACCCGTTGGATTTGACGTCATCTGAACAGGACATCGCACGCTCACTGCTTGATAGCGCGCGAAGGTCCGTTTACGCCGGTTGTTAAACAACATCGTTATGGGGAAATGCAAGTTTGCGTCCAAATGGTTGGAAGATAAGGAGGAAGGACAATCAATACTGTATATAGTCAATGTGAGGTAAAGTGTGTCGCCAAGGTAACCGGTTAAAACTCGAAGTGGCGATGA